TCCTCCTTCTTTCTTTCTCTCTCCCTCTTTTCCTCTCTCTCTCTCTCCTCTCTTTCTCTCTCTCTCATTCTCTTTCTTGTTCTCTTCCTTTCTTTTCCTCTTTTCCTCTCTTTCTCTCTCACTGACTTCCTTTCTCTCTCTCTCTCTCTCTCTCTCTCTCTTTCTCATTCTCTTCCTCCTTTCTTTCTCTCCCTCTTTTCCTCTCTCTCTCTCTCTCTCTCTCCCCATAGCACCCCCCCGGGAGCCCAGCCTGATGTGCAGGTCCAACAACTACCCCATCGGTTTCTACTGCAGCTGGCACCTGCCCAGCCCGACCTACATTCCCGACACCTTCAACATCACCATCATGTAAGTGGGGCTTCGGACAGACGAAGGAGAGCAAACCGAGATCACAAACCAGCATCCGGAGCGAGAGAAGTTCCTGGTGGAATTCCCTTGAGCCGGGAACCCCGGGTGGGGGGAGGGGCAACTGGGCAAACCTGGTCCTGCCAGGGGGGGCTCATGTCCCACTGAGGGCTTCTAGGGAGCAGCAGGAGGGTCCTTTCTGCCAGATCAGGTGGGATGGGGGCCAATCCCGTTGGGGTGAGATGGTTCCTCAGATACCCCAGACCCACATCAGGAGGGCGTAAGTCCCTTCCCCCGAGGAGGAGGGGGCCAGCCGGTGCAGCAGACAGTGGCCACTGTTGGAGGGAGCACCGAGACTAGAATACAATAGAATAGAAGAGAATGGGAATATGAATATGAAAATGAAAATGGAATAGAATAGAATAAGAAATAATAGAATAGAATGTGAATGGGAAATAGAATAGAACAGGGTAGAATAGAATAGAATAGAATAGAATAGAATAGAATAGAATAGAATAGAATAGAATAGAATAGAATAGAATAGAATAGAATAGAATAGAATAGGATAATGAATTGAATTGAATTGAATAATGAATAGAATAATGAATAGAATAGAATAGGATAATGAATAGAATAGGATAGGATAGGATAGGATAGGATAGGATAGGATAGGATAGGAT